CCCCCCCCCCCCCCCCAATCAACTGATTAAATTCCTGGATCTGTTCTTGATTGAACATTGGTGCCTTCGTGTGTGTGTGTGTGTGTGTGTGTGTGTGTGTGTGTGTTTTCTATATAAACAGAACATGCACGTTATACATTGCTCGTTCTAGTCATAAAAGAACGACTGCAATCATTTTAAATAAAAGCTGGTTGGGTTGTAAGACTTTTTTAGGATTAGCAGGAGGCGTGTTGCCTTGCATGCGATGATCTTACTTAGATTTTAGTTGAGGGAATCAGATATATAAGCACCGTTTACATCAATCTTACTCAGAATAAATTAAATAGGCCTAGCTTGCTAGATAGAAAAGTGTTATATAAATTTTGTACGCAGGACGTTATTCCTCAACTTTTCAAATAGGCCTACATGTATAATCTTTTCAAATGTATTACTTTCCTTCGTATATTCATGAGACTTATGCAAGTCATTATGACTACATTGTCTGACAACAAGACATACGTTAAAGATCATTATCTGACTGAATCAGACTACCGGCCATACCAATGCCACTCAGATCTTACATATGTCAGCCCTCACCGAGCATGACGCTCCCGGCACGAGGCGTTACATCACCGGGTTGTCAGCGCATGCGCACATCCGAAATCACCTCGCTCAGCAGCTATTTTTGACTTATTACAAAGCAGAGATCACTGATATCCAAAACCAAATACATTTTGTCTTGTGAAGGTCATTCTTTTCAAAAACCTGATAAACTTGTTGTTCGTTTTTAAAATGTTCACCCCTACACCAAAGAATTATCATTATATTATATTACCAAAGAATTATTATTATAATTATATTATTATATTATATTATATTATATTTTAATTAGAAATACTAACATTAGTTCTAGTTTAGTGCAAACTGATTGATTGAAAACCCCCATTTACTTGCTTTCGCGTGTAAGGCCTCAAAACGTAGCAACAAATACATGTACATGTATGTCAACCATAAATATGTATACATTTGAATTAATTAAAACAATTTGAATCCTGCTTATATTAAGCTTAAGGAACATTTGCGTTCTTTAGTCGCGTATGTGTGACTGACAGCTTATGAAATATATTGCACAATATAACAATATGTATTATATATTACACAATTTAACAATATGGATTAAGTATACAGCTATAATGGTTGTACAGTGTAAATGTATCAAACCGTGGCAGTAATGAAACTACCTAATGCAGCTGATTTGAAATTAGATTACAGAAATATTTTACCATAGCACCTCAAAGCAAATTACCCGTCCCAATATTGTGGTCTTTTCTTGAGATGGACTGGTTTAAATTGGGCTTACTCACTTTAATGACTTGAATCGAAACATCAGGTATTGGGACCAATTCACATAGCACATATAATTTCTAGTATGGTAAATAAACTTTGTTCAAAATACACTTGTGTATGCCCCTGTTTACTTTGCCACATTGTGACGTTCATTTCTGATCTTAAACAACAAATATGTTAATTTTTTGAATGGGAGGAACGAAACAATAGACAACTATATAACACTTGCCATGGTGCAATTTTCTACTGAAATATACACACATATATCTGTTAAGATACGTTACATATGCACGCCTGACATTTAGCGTATCTTTCCATCAGTCATCGCACTCATTCGGGCTTGGGATAGATTTGTTATTGCAATTTTTGAAGATTTATATAAGACAGATAATTAAACAATGATAGATATTTAAACATGTTCAGTGCAGTTACTTTTAAAGTATCATGTGAAGCCTCTGCCCCCCCCCCCCTCCGCATCTCTATACTAAATGACATTTTAACGGCACCATGTACATTATCTAATAAGTTTTAAGCAGTAGAAAGTTTAACTGCAAAATAACAAACTTCTCTAAAATCCCTGTGAAAGGGGAAATAGTCCTGTATGAATTGGATACGACATTTTTAAAAAATAACGGAAATCATTTTTCAAGAAAGTGGAGGCACTAGTACAAATAGCAGAAGTGTATTAGGCCTACGATGTGGTCAGTCAAGGTTGAAAATTAATTATTTAAAAGTTGTCAGTGTAAAGTGTCAAAGGGGTCGGACCAGGATGACCATAGTGCAGCTTTGTGGTCAAGACCGGTCATCTCAAGGCAAGGGCTGGTCATTATCAAAATATGTCCCACTGACCGGATATATGGCCATCTTATCTTGGCAACAATCTCTTCTCCACCTAGAGGGAGCAGACGACATCAAGATGTTTCCGCCGCGTGGTGATTTGTCAAATTTTAATGACCACCTGGCTAATGTGACGGTGGACGGGGCACTTGACGGTCATCTCTGGTCGGAAATATGCAACGGGTGATGTCCAGACTCCGCCCCTTCTCATTCTAACCAATCCTTGAGCTGAAATGTATTTTTTTAATCTTTTACAAGGATGAGTGCCCTGTCCACTTCCCTTCACCACGTAAAGGTATCCTATCTATGATTTTCGCAAAATCGATTTTTTTTTTTTTTTAGAAAAAGACCCATGTCTCGTACTCACGAGCTATTGCTTGAACCGCTGGTGCAGTTGTATTCTATGTTTTCTGAAATTTCTAATTATATAATGCGGATATCATGAGATTTAGTTGAGGTGGTGCAATGTTTCTAAGGTATGACATTGGGAATTATAATATTTTTGCGCAAAATAAATACAAAAAAGAGATTTTTCACACTTCACATTTACATATCTGTTTACCGCTCAGCACCACTTGTACTCGTAGTGTGGTGTGGTTTTCCTCAGTGGACCCAGGCCGAAGCGAGAGCATTTCCTGAGGGACCATAACCAATGTACATTGTTTGTGCAGAGTTTTTTTTTCAGTTAAATGAGGTTGGTCTTAATTTGTAAGAACTAATAATAAATAATCATGAAATCCGAAAAACCTAAGATAATGACAGCAAAATTAAATATCTTCTCTCGAGTATTATTGTTATTATTCTTGTTGTTGGAAGGAGAAGAGCGAAATGAACGCCATTTGTAAGAAATTGTCCGGACTTTAACTTTTCACCCCCTTTTATCATCTTATTTAACCGCACACGCGTGTCGTGTTAAACATATCTGTAACGCCACTAAACCGCTCCAGATTCCAAGCAACTATTACACCTTAGCCACAGTTTTGTAACTCAACACTGGCCGACCAGGGGTACTAAGGGGAAGTGACCCCAACATTTTACCCAATTTGGGCAATGGTGGTGGGTGGGTGGGGGGGGGGGGGCGGAGGTTGCCGGATTTTGAGTGGAAGGAGTCTGTTTTTCTCTCATTTGTCCGGTTATCCTATATAGACATAGATGAAGGTTTGCATATTTGCTCCTTTCACTGTTTCTTAATACAAAAAGAAACTTACGGATTTATATAAGATACTTACTGAAACGGATTGTCAAGAAAGGAGCAAAAGCTGCACTATTTCATTTCACTTCAGAGAAACTTCAATGGCCCCACGGCAAATTTCCAAAAGAAGACATGATAATATTTGGTGTGCGAGGGGACTTGACAGAATACTGACCACGTACCCCCACCTCTCTCCATCCACCCCCCCCCCCCCCCCCCCGACACCCGTAGATACACCAAGTTGAAATATTGGTCGACGTTCAGCTAGAATGTTTAATTTACATCAACACACAACAGTAATAATGAAAATGCTGATATAATTGTATACTAAAAATAAACATATTACGTCATTGTGGAGATTCCCACATGCATTTTAAATCAAATAAACACCCCACATAATCCAAAATACTGCACTCAAACACCCAGTCTAGATTAAGTACTTGATCTTTAAGAAGACCCACCAGCAAAATGTTTTGATAGTCTTTTGACGTAATTTATATTTAAACCAGTATGGGCTGACTATGTATGTACGCGCCGTCATCAGGACCGTGTCCGTCGTTAGTGTACCCGCGTCACAATCGCCTCTGGTGTCAAGATTTATGTAACCGTCATGCTATCCCACCGTTACTTGACCGCTATAACTGTCATTAAATTTACATATCACCAAAATCGACAAAATCTGGCTTTCCGATCTCAAAAGAACGTACCAAGGAGCGTTTCGCTTCGACCACAAACAAAATATTTCAATTACAGCTGCGATTTATTTTGCCTCGCGCATTTACCGTTACAAATCATACTGCTGGAAGTGTCCTCCGAGAGCGCTTGAAATAATACATTTCGAGGACTGTTGGATTTAAGACAACTTTACAAAACTGTTTGGGTTTTAAAAATTGTCAAAACGAGAAAACAAGGTAAGAGACACGGAGCATTTTTTATTCTTAACTGTGAAGATCTTTTTTAAGCTGAGGCGCTTTAATTCACTTATTTCGGAAGTGTGACATAAAGTAAGCCGAAATTCCTTGCCCCTTTTTAATCCTCTTGTATTTTTTCCATTCTTTTGGATGACAGTTAATAGGACCTATATTTTGTTTTCACCTCTGGAACTTTAAATACGATTTTCTTTTTTCTTTTTTTTTTTTTTCTTTTTTTTGAGAACTGGTTGGAAAATGTAAATAAGACTTATTTGTAATTAGTATGCTGATTTCTTGTGTGTAATATTTTTTTCTATTTTTTTACTTCATAAACATATATGATTTACTAGTAATTGTGTAATGAAACTCATTCTAAAGCTGATATCCTTTGGATACACCAATCTCAAATGATAATTACTGTGATTGAAAGTCAATTCTAGACCCCTCTTTTCGCTAAGATAAAAATTAATTTAGAATATACACCCTGCATTTAATACCTCGTGCAATCATTATATACACACATTTTATATTGCGTTGGGTTAATAACGTTTGTGATTAATAAGATTATAGAGCTGTTTGGGTTTTTAAGTAAGTATTTCTTGATCTCAAAACAGGTATGATAAATTTGCACACCGGACAACGCTTTATCCAAATTAAAAAAAAAAACAACGTTACTACATTTTTATACGGAATGTGTGAGTCTGATTTTAAAAGCAATTAATTGAATATTTTAATTTCTAATACATATATATCACCTTTAAATATGCCTCATATATATTGTTTTATATTAGAAGCGAACACAAGTCGTGGACACGGTTGCTTAGGCAATTGTTACTTGTAGATATATATCAGAACTATTGTTGAATACCAACTCTACAATAAGATCATTAAATCTATGGATACATATTTATACAATAAATTTTATTGACATCTACATGGTAGCCATTATCAACTGAGCCATTATCAACTGAGATTACTGTTGCTCGTTACCAACATGATGCGCGATGTAGCACTTAATATATCGGGCTTTTTAAATGCCAAAAATTATTCAAATGCCTCGATGTTTCTGCTGCCATCCCATCCAAAGATTTTGCCAAATGTGCGTCTTGCATCCTGACAAAACGTATGTTGCGACGATCTAAATGATATTTCTTGTATTTCAGCCAATACAACAGTCATGAGGTTAGGAGAGGCGGCCATTTTGTTGCTTCTGGTTGTCCTGTGTCGCGTTTCCTCAATAACTGGACAAGGTAAGTGCTGACCAGGCACCCCGGGCAAAGGTGGCCAATAACTGTTAATATGTTTTTTTTTTTTCGATTATCTGACCACTGATTGACCAGATGTAAGGTTTTAGCTGTGTTTCAATCAACAGATGGCATCACAGTGTGATGGAAAACTATGAAGAAGTTTGTCACTGGGCTCTAAGTAAAGCAACAAACAAGTCCTTGCCGGTGACGTCAAATACGCAGATAATAGATACAAACTTGTATGACCAGGCCCGCTTATACCAACTGCTAAACCAATTTCAAATCGCTGGAAGCTGAAATCTACAAAATGGGAATGCGTGGAAAGGAATATCGCCGAATTGTCCCTTTTGACAAAAGAAAACATATCCACAAAACTTCATCTGTGTAGTTAGTCCCATATTATTAGTATCTGAATACTGATATTTTACCTCAGCTGATTATAAATAACAGTAGTTTTCTTGGTTATTGTTGTCCTTTCCCCCCCCCC